AATTTTATTTTTTGGTTTTGTTTTTAATTGGGAATGGAGGAATGGATGAGCCACCTTGGATTCTGAATTCAAGTCCCTTTTTATTACAAGCACTCAGATTATATAATGTTTTTCTTCAATATTTCAGACTTCATCTGAAATTTGTTGTTTGTTGTTCCCCATTATTGCCACTTAAAAAGCTGCTAGGAGTCACACTCTTCTGATGCTTAACTCAGCTCTAATTTATAGTGTCTCTGTGATGTATTTATTCTTTTGCAAGCTTTACTGTTTCAGAAATCCTCCTTGCTGCTTTTCACAATCCTTGCTACAGTTTGCATTCACATGTACTGGACTTGTTCAAAATGTCTCCACCAACTCATTAATAATTTTTCTCAATATACTGTACCTAGAGATCTGTTGAAGACCTTTAATATGTGCTATTTTTGTTGTAATCACCATTATTCAAATCATATGGTAGTGAATTATTTCGTTAGTACGTTTTTGCTATTTAGTCATGGTCTTCATCAAAATGTGTGGAAGGTACCACACCACATAGATTTTTGATAGAAGGTTTTACTTCTAAAATAGAAAAGAACAGTGATAGGATGTGTTTTCATGCTTTTTTGTTACTAGCTCTATCACTATGGTGTGGCATGATACAGCCTTACAGAGTTCATTTTTGTGAAACTGAAATTTTTCTGAATCTCATGCAGCCACAGCAAATAATGCCTCTGCTTTCCAATGCCTCTGCTTTCTGGAACTGCGTGGTTAAATGCTGTCCCCATACATTAAGTTAGCCTTCTAGAATAAATTTGGACAGTCTAAACTTTCCAAATTCTACTGAGTAATTTTCAAATCTGATAAATGCTGTCTGTGAGCATTTTGCGTATTTCAGATTGCTAAAATAAACCAGTGAAGATTGGGAGGGTTGGTCTTACTATATTTGACATCTTGTTTATTGCTGAAGAGTTTATCACTGCCTTGTTTGAAATCTTCCAGGAACTTACTGTTTAACATCCAGAAAAACAGATTGGAACCTGTTTTTGCTCCCTGAGAAGAAAAGAGCAACTGTTCAGTCACTCCTGTAGAATTGGTCTTAGAAACCTTCAAACAGATACTTAACAAAACTTGTCTGGATGTGCATTCATAGTAGTTTAATTTAAATCTCTTGATATCTGACTATGGAAGCTTCTACACATCCTGGACTTCTTTTAAGTAGTTGAACATGTTTAGTACTAGTTTGGATTAGGGCAGGTTTTTGTGGCAGTAAGAGCTCTACAGAGCTGGCTGGCAAACTGTTGAGTGGTGTTTAAAACGATACAAGTGCTGTCTGGTGTTTCAAATGAAGATAAGGAACGTCTGTTGTGGGCTGGGCATAATACCTATGCTGTTCTAGGCTTTGTTAAATTTAGGAGAATTACAGACCAATGACAGGGTGATATTTCTATAGAAGTGCTCAGGAATTAGGCATGGCCAGAAGAACATTCTGGACCATGTAAGACTTGTGGTGCCACAAGATTACAAAGTCTAACATCTTGTAGAATAGAATACAAAGAACTGTGATTTTTGAAGTTTTTTTACAATATTTAAAACATATTTTTCTGTGAACATTTTTCTCTTCCATTTCTTTGACAGTTTGGTCTCGGACTTGTCTAGCATGCAACTGAGCAGAGACGACTCCTCATATTTTGTGTTTTCTATGTATAAAGTAGACAAATATTCTAATGTGTGTAAGAAAAATTTAATATTAGGTGGCACAATATTAATAATTATTAAGTCCACATTTTTACTTCCTATGGGTTGGAATAAGATGAAAGGCAGTGGTGAGGTGTCTGCATTACCATGGTAGTGGTAAGTTTTGCTGTGGGGAGGGGGCACTGGTGTGACCCATCTGTCTCTCTGCCTTGCAGTGTGGTGGTGGGACACTGAGGGACAGCTGTGCTTTGGTACCTCCTGGGTGCTGTTTCCAGTGAAGGAGGAAGGTGCTGGGAGGGGAGCAGAGCACCCCCTCACTCGCTGCCAGCTGGGCCCTGCTGGTGGGGGAAGCTCCTCTCTTGATGGGCAAAAACATTTTCAAAGCAATCTTACTGACTCTCTGTAGCAATTGGCAGAAATTGTCTCTAGAAGTGGTTATCCTACAGAAAGCAGCATAGTAATGAAAACAGGAAAAAATATTAATTTGATCACTGTTGGTGCTCATGTTTGGGTTTCCTGTGCTACAAAGTATTTGGATAAAAGCCAAGCATAGATGTGCATTCATTTTATAATTATTTTCCAACTGACTGAGTGCAACTTTTCTAAAACTTGCAGAGAAACCTGTTTGGCATATCATGAATATTGTAAAGATTATATCTGTCCCTTAAGTTGCTTGCAATTACCTACCTCATAACATTTTCTGATTTGTGCTGTGAATTTCAGTGCCTTTTTCTCTGTGAGGTGTGGTAGATTTGTACCTTTTCACTCCAAATTGCCAGAATATTACTTGACTACACAAACTCAGCAGCTTTGTTTTGTTCTGGTGGCTTTAGCAGGGACTGCAGGCCAGGCTGAGGTGGTGCCAGTGCTGGATGACAGCAGCTCCAAGGGGTCCCACTTGTGTTGCAATGTGGCCACTGTATGGAAAGTCATGAACTGGGGAAGACAGGCCAGTTTCACTTCTCCCACCTTGTCCCTGGAGGCCCAGTGCAAACCAACCCTGTCAATTGTTGCTTTTGTATCTGGGTGCAGGAATGGTGGAGCCCTGGAGCCTGGCATTCTGGAGTGCTTTTAGCATCATCATGGGACAGCTGTTGTTTGACAGTGGACCATTAAATTCTGTTGTTAAAAATGCAGTAGCAGTTAAATTATGTGAAGAATTACTATTGCAAAAGAAGGACAAAATTTTCTTATTTATGTTCTTGTCATTGTGGCTGATACTGTTTTTCTATTTTTGAATTTCTTCCCAAGCTTTAAAAAATGTTTCATTTTAATGCATGAAGCAGAGCTCCTAAGGTGTCCTAGAACATAGGCAAGTGGTTTCAGCAGGGTGGGAGAAGGGGAAATAAGGTAATAAACATACACAGACATCTCTGTAGGGTTTTCCTTTCTGTCAGTTAACATGCAAAATTTTAATAATGGTTGGACTTTGTATTTTTTCCTTGTATTCTGCCACCACTTTTTTCCATTAATTATCTCATTTCCCCCACTTTGTTTTCTATGATCTGTTCATCCAGTTCACTCCACAGATGATTGTGAATAATCAGGTTTTTGCTTCATGTGTTTCATGGCACAGATTATGCCCCATGAAAGGTTTTACTCTAAGTATCAGACTTTGCATATAGGAGAGAATATTGTCCTTAAATTTTATTAAAAGAGAAGTTTTGTTTAGTTAGTAAGCAGCTTGGGAGTTTTTTTAGTAAGAAGGACAAACTGCTTCATCTAAAACAAAATTGTAGTCATGTTTTGATGGTCTGGTAATGAGGCACAGATAACTGACTTAAGTGACATGAAGACATTTAATAGATGTCTTTCTTTTTAATATGAAAGTTTTTTAATATATAAGCTTAATATAAAAGCTTATTTAAATAAGTGGGTTGGGAGGAAATAAAACAAAAATTTAAATCTGGCTGGAGACAAGATGGAGACAAAAGCTTCTGGAATGTTGGCAAGAAGTCAGTCTGAATGTTGTATATGTCATTTATTCCTGGAGCAGACATGGGGATTTTGGTTAATTAAGTAGGTAAAATGTTTCTTGTTAGTGACATCTTGGGTATTTCCTTGGAAGTGCTTGGTAATTGGGATGAAATATGCAGCATGGTAAAAAAGTACACTTTTCATTTGGCACGTAATGGTTTCAGCTAGTGCTGAGATCTTAGGAAGATAAATTGTATTTAATACAGAGACAGTAGTGGGCCAGAATAAAATATTATTCTCTAGAGTGTTACAGGCAAGAAATGATAGATAAAATGTTATGGTCTAGAGCACAATTTTACAGGGTTTTTGAGTGTAGCTGTCTTCAAAATAAGACTTTTGAATTAGAAAAAACACGCTTTTTAAATGAACAGCATTAGCTCATACAGTTAATCAGCAATCAAGTTAAAACAAACTATGTATATGTTAAATAAATAAAATCACTTCTAGTTGTTTCCCTAATTGAATAGGATCTTAAAATGCTGTTGTGTCACAAGCATTTGTATGATTGACTGGAGTTTTTAACATGAATTTTTAGCAAACAAATCAGAAGCCTCGTTAAAAGTCCCACAATGGGATTTAGCTGGTGACTTAACATTCTAAAATGTCAGCTGATTTACACTAGGGAGAGAAATGCAGTGTTAGATTTTTCCATGCAGCTAACTCACCTACTAAAATAGGAGTACTGGAACAGCTGAGTGTGGCTGCATGAGTCGAGATGGAAAGGAATCTCCATCAGAACAGTAGGAGGGAAAAGTAAAGGGAGCTGATTTTTTACTTGGGGAATTGGAGGAAACTTATATGGAAAAATACATTGATAGTGCTACCTAATACTGTGCAAACAAATCTTTTGCCTCATCATGGAAATATGCAAGTATTCTTAATATTTTCTATTATCTGTTCATACAGTCTGGGTTTATCCCCAAATAAAATACATTAAATACATCTGTGGTGTTATAATTAAGATAAACAGGGTAGAGTAGGATTTAATATGATTGCATAGTGAACCTAGCAAGTTCAAGATCCAGCAGCAATTTACAAATTAGTTGTTATCTAGTGCCATTAGTTTGTAATTTCTTCTGTAATGTTTGTCTCTAAGCTTTTAAAAAATTAATCAGACTGGGACCACTTGAAACAGTTAAACTTGAAACCTCCAGACTGGCTGGTCTCAAATTATCTAAATTAAAATAACAGTTACATAATCTATAGTACTCTTTGTTGGTAATGCAAGCAATAGGTTTGTGTTCTCTAAGTGCTGTGGGATTGATTTGTTTGTAACATAGTAGCCAAGAGCCTAACTGTAGGCTTTCTGTGAGAAAATGCAATGTTAAAACTTTCCATAATATTCACAGGTTTTAGGACCTGCCCCAAAATGGTGTTCCTTCTTGGACAACTTGACTGAAGAACTGGAAGAGAATCCAGAAAGCACTGTTTATGATGATTACAAATTTGTTACCAGAAAAGACCTTGAAAATTTAGGTAAAACAGTTGTATACACTCTTTGGCTGACTTCTTTGTTGAGCTTTTGAACATTTACACATCTGATTTTTGTAATTCCAGTGTGGTGTATGAGGGCTACTAGAAATTCACTGACAGTAGTTTTCTCTTGTTTTCTTGGTTATAAATATTCCAGACTGATGGCTCTAAGTTCTTTGATTCCCAACCAGTATAATACAAGACACTTGTGTTTCTCAGATTTTTATCTCAAGAAGGTAATTGATATTTGCTGGTATAATGCATCTGGGAATCGGTTGTGCTTTCATATGCCACATGGAAGGCATAGGAAGAAAAATTGGTTTAGTTGTCAAAATATTTTTGAGGTGCTGAAATAGAATTTGGAACTTGCAGCCAAAGGCTACCCTATTTGAATGTAGTAATTTTCAGAAAATACAAATCGTTCTAGGGCTAATAGTTTCAAGAAATTGAAATACTGAAAATTATATAGCAGAGAAGGTAAGCAACCTTGTCTTGAGGCACTTAGTCCTTTTTCTGTCCATTACATGGTTTGATTGCAATGTTTTGCTCCAGTTTACTTATTTTACCTCTGACTGTGTTGGGTTTGACCCAGGGCAAAACTCTTTAATTGAAAAATTTATCACACTAAAAAAGGGATTATCAAATATCTATGGACTTCCCAAAAATCATCCTCTGGAATTCTTTGTGAAGTTCTATAGAGTATAGTGCATGTGGCAATTTTTAAGAAGTGCTCAGTAACATGTATTATGACAAGAAAAGTGGATCTGGTTGCTCCAAAGAATCTTAAATTTTTTTGCTGGCCAAAACGATTCTTATTCCCACTTTTAATTAGTCTTGATGTCATAACTGTGACTGTTAGATTGATATTTTGCATTGGCAGTGTTTGTTTGTCTTAAGGAAGTGAAGTGGCTGTCTTGGAATAGAAGTTCTTTATATGTGAAAGTTCTTTGAAATTCTCTGGAACTTTTTTCCTAGGCCTTGCTCATCTCATTGGATCATCATTGCTCAGAGCATACATGCATGGCTTCTTCATGGACATAAGACTTTATCATAAGGTAACTATGGCTGAATCTTGTCAATTTTTATTCTTAACAATAAATTATATGTGCTGTGGGGTTTCTTCATCTTTTTGTGGTTCTTCTTGTTTTGGCTGGAGTTTTTTTCCATCCAGATAATGGACTGTGTCCTGTACTAATGGTACTTTCCTTTTACTTCCTTCTGTTTGTTCAAAGGCAAAAATGATGGCCAACCCCTTTGCCTATGAAGAATATAGAAGAGAGAAAATAAGGCAGAAGATAGAAGAAACTCGTGCACAGAGAGTTCAATTGAAGGTAAATCCTAGAAATAAATGGTAGACTTTGGGGAAAGCTATTCATAAAGAGTAATGTATTCCTAAGTGTATCTTAGAGATGTAGTGACTTAGGAGTTGAATCTGTTATCATTGCACACACAAAGTAATTTATAGAACTTCTTGAATGGAAACAAAATTCTCATGTGTGGGATTTTGAAAGGCTGATACCAAACTAAAAGAGCAGGTCTCATCTCATTTGCCACTTCAGCAAATAATCCACTGGTAAAACTTTGCATTTTCTACTTCGGTCATTAAATTACTTGAGCCATTGAAACATGATACTCTGGAAAGAGATACATGAAAATTGTATTGTGTTTATAACTACTAACTTTCTAGATTGGATCTGTTCAACATAAAAGGAGAAAGAATTGCTTTTAAAGTTCTAAAGGTGATGCATTAGAAGTTAAAAATAATATACAAGTTCTTTAATCTTCTCTAAGGGCAGTTACTTTACTAGTACTTAGAGATATTTGGAACAGCAAGGAGCTTTTCTGAAACAGTTGTAAGTAAAGCATGTAGGTTGCATGTGTAAAAGGCTAATTTATTAATTGCTTTCCTCTTTTTAGAAACTCCCAAAAGTTAATAAAGAACTTGCACTCAAACTGATTGAAGAAGAAGGAGAAGAGCAACAGTTCAGTAAAAAAAGAAAACAAAAGGTGAGCTCTTGTTTTGGTGAATTCTCTCGCTGGGAGCACAGAACTAGCAATGCTTACAGGATTCTTTTTTTTTATTGTTGCTGTTTGGCCAAAGAGATTCAAAATACCATTGGTTCTGTTTCTTACAAATAACTTATTCTGGTAGGTGGCTTTAAGTGTATTTGACTGTAGCTGCAGCACAAAAAAAACCATATAGTAACTTGATGCTAAAAATTATTAAATACCCATTGTGAAGGTAATATGGGTTTCACAGAACTCCAAAAACTGGTTAATGCAGCCTCAATACCACAGCTGTTCAAACAAGACTTGTTCTTTGCATATGTTTTTGGTATTTTGGTGGTGACCATGACAGGATAGATGTTATCTATAAAATTTAAGATACAATTGCCTTTTTTGTGTATACAGTTAAATATGTTTTATAGAATAGCCAAAATGGTTTGCATTTATGCAACAGGAGTTCTTCTGGATGTTAAAAGTAATCTACTACTCTGCTATGAGAAGTTTTTAATTGAAGAAATGGGTAAATGTTTAGTATCTAGTGGGAGGGAGGGCTTTTTATAGGTAGCACTTCATAGGTGCTCATTCTTACAGGACTATAGCATTCATGATAGGCAGACACTAGCCTGCATGTGATAAATAATGAAATGTTAGTGTTGAGGTTAGAGGAAGGATGAACTACTAAAAAGATAGGTTGGTGGTGAAACTTAAATGAGAGTTCAGTAGATGGGGACTGATTTGTCTTGAAGTACCTAGAGATTGTGTTATTAAGTGGACTAAATAAAGTGCATATAAAAATGTACATAGAGATTATTTTTCTCAAACGGTATTAGAGTCCTATGACAAGCAATTTATTTCAGGCTTTGGGATTTAATTTTTGTTGTGGTTGAAAGTTACACATTTGCACTGGTTTTGTGTTTGAAATTTATTCTTGTTTTCTGTATCCTTAGTTCCACCCTCCTTTGCTTCAATAACAATGAAAACCTAGTGCAGTGGTGGGATTAATATGCTGGTATAAGTTGAGCAATGTTAAAAAATTAACATTTTCTATTAAAAAGCTATGTGTGCAATGATTACAAAATGACAGTAACTGGTCTTCTCCTAAAATGAATTAGTAGCTTGAACTGTTCTGAATTCACCAGCAGCATAATTTACACTGAGTTCATTTTACTTTGACATGGTTTAAACTTTTACATTCTGTGTGTGAAAGTAGTGAAGAAAAAGTGTTATAATATGTATAATAACATTTCCTCTTAAGTATTTACACTAAAATAATAGTAGCATTACATAAAGATACATACCCTTATAATTTGTTTTACATGTTGTAGACTCATCCCCATCAGGCAGTATATTTGCCTTGCAGGTACTGCTGATTAGTCAGTAGATATCAACATGTCTCCAGACTAGCTGGCTGAATGTATGAGAAACATTTATCTGAAAATATTAGTAATTGTGTATTTAAAGTGTCTGTACTTTGTATTAAAAAACTCTTGCTTACAGGTAGCTTAAAACAATCTTTGTTAAAGTACAATAAGCATAAATCTTGATTTTTATTTGACCTGGAAGGATAAAGCAACTGGCATTTCATATGCTGGTTATTAATTTTGTTTAATTAAGAAAAAGTGTTACGTATTTTGTTAATGTCTGTTTCAGAATTGTCTAACTTGCTCATGCTTTGCTCCTGTTCCAGAATCTGCCCAGCCTTCTCAAAGATGATCGTTTTAAGGTCATGTTTGAGAATCCAGATTTCCAGGTGGATGAGCAGAGTGAAGAATTTAGGCTACTTAACCCACTTGTTTCTAAAATAAGTGAGAAAAGAAAGAGGAAGCTAAAGATCTTAGAAGAACTGGAAGCACAAGGACAGGTAAAATATTTTCCCATTTGGATTAAGAAAGCCTATGGAGTTTTCTTTTCCTCTGCTTCAGGCTTTCAGACTTTTCACCCCAGAAAGATGAAGGCAATGCAAGGATGTCTTACCAGCTACAATAATTAAGTGTCATTTATAAATTTATTCTAGTTTTTAGATGTAATACTGTTTTTGCACAAACACAGGTTTGAAAAAACATAAAATATGTAGATGGTAACAACTTTGTGATATATTTTCAGCTTATTTGCTGTTACTGCTTTTGTTCAAAAGTTGTAGTTGTCTTCAGCTGTATCTGTGTAAAAGCTGTCACGTACTCCAATTGCAGGAATGATTTGGAAAGAAAATTAGTTGATGATTTCTTATTTTATAATATTTTTGTCTGCAGGAAGAAGAGGAAGAACCAGAAGGAAAAGCAAGTGATGCAGAAAGTTCTGAGAGTTCAGATGATGAAAAAGGCTGGGTTGAAGAGGTCAGGAAACAGCGCAAGCTTTTACGCCAAGAGGAAAAACTAAAGCGGCAGGAAAGGCTCAAGGAGGATCAGCAAACATTACTAAAACCTCAGTTTTTTGAGATTAAAGAAGGAGAGGAATTCAGAAGCTTCAAAGACTCTGCCAAAAAACAAAAATTAATGAAGTAAGGCTAATGTTCCTATTTTAATAGGTGGGGGTAGATGACTCTCAAGTATTTCCCTACAGTGCAGGCCCGCAGTGTTTTGGCATGGAAGCACTTGATAGTAAAGCTACATTTGGTGATCCAAGGGTATAACTTAAGGTGACATGGTCATTGTATGCTTTGTTTTATAGATAAACAAATACACTATTTAAAGTAGGACAGAGACACAATGCAAATGAAATTAGTAAGATACTCCTGAGTCCGTTTGGGGGATCCATTACTCAGTGTTAGTACAGTGCTGTTCTCACAGGTAACAGTGATGTCTTGTCAGACTGGTTATATTTCTCCACTAGTGTCACTATGAGGTTAACAGACTGGGTGTTTTTAATCTGACTGTCCAAAAGGGTTTAGAATGCTACGTAAGTGGTCACTGTTTTGGGAGTAGGATCAAGATGGGTCAACATGGTGAAAGAAAAATTGTTTTGTTTGGCTATTTTTATGGCATCTAGAAATTTTCAAAATCTACACTGTCCTAATAATGTCAGGACTTATTTCTGTTTTTCATTTTGCAGTACAAAATACCAGGCTAGGAGGGTGTTTGTTAAGTGTAGTTTGTTTGGTTTGGTTCTTTCATTTCCTTAAATTGGTGATCATCTGAAATAATGGATACATGGATAAGCATTTCAAACTAAAGAAAGAAAGAGCACATTAATTAAAGGACTTGGCTTTGAGGTGCTCAGTGGCTGCAAATCTCATTGATTTAGTTTTTTTCAGAGGTGAGTTGAGCCCTTCAGAAGATGAGATTTAATAGAATTTTATTGTTTGGAGTACAGACACTCATTAAACCTTTCAAGACAGTAGCTTCAAAGTTCTTGCAGCACAGCTGGTGCAGAACAGAATTTTGACTGATGATGGAAATGGATTGTTGGGCTAGATGGATCTCATAATAAACATTTCAGTTTTATTTGGAATGAAATTGTACAGTCAAAGGAAAGAAAGTGAATAATACAATGGGGCTATTTCTTTCTGTCACTAATGACTACTCTACAATCTAGTTGTTTTATGGTGGGAATTTTTGGGAGACACGTAAAGAAACACTTGATAAAAATTCAACCTTTTAACTAGAATGATCATGTAAAGTGGATTTTTAAGTATTAGCAAGACAGTGTTCCTATGGTAGTTAGATGGTCTATGATTTCCATGTTGTACTGTAAGACCTCTTTTAAGCAGAAATAGTGATATTTTATAAATAGGGATTTATAGCAGTTCAGCAAAACTGATTGCCATGTTTTCCTTAGCTGTTTTTATCAGCAAGTAATTTCACACAGGGATTTTTCTTTCTTCTTTTTATTGAATATGTCTACTTATTTTGAACTTTTAATTTCCTTAGATGCTTCCATTAACTGTCTTCTGATTATTCTTCTTTTTACCTTTGTTCTAGACGATGAAGCAACTTTTCAATTTTGTCAGTTTTTCTTCTTTGTCAGGAGAAAATCTACTCCGGATACTCTGACAAAGTATTATAGGTTAAAAATAATTTTTTACATTGTGATTAGGTTTATAGTCATATTAGCTGTAACTTGGAAGGAGCCTGAAACACTGGTCAAATGGCACTGTATTCTCAGTGCAAGTGAAATATTTCATTAAAAGACTGTATGGCTGCAGACTACTCATATACTGCTATTTTGCACAAATTCAGCTGCTGAGCCCCAAAGAAAACTCTAAGGACTCTCAATTTGAAGCATAAAGATTTCATTTTGTTCAAAATACAGAAGGCTTAAATGTGAAAAATGGTGTTGAAATTCAAGTAAATAAGCCAAGATAGTTGTAAGGAAGAGAAACATTTTATATGGGTTTAAGGGAGAAAAATAATTTCTTCACCCCAGGAAAAGCAAAAGCATATACCACAGACCTGTCCTGTAGAGAAAGAAATATCTGTGATGACATAAACCATCAAAAGACTTTTAACAGGCTGCTTGTAAAGAAAGGAGAATGTCTTAAGATTTGCTGCTAATAGATATCCTCTCTGGTAGATGCACAAATAGACTGTAATGTAAAATGTAAAAAAAAAACCAAAAAAAGGAAAGGAATTTGAGGACAGACCAGGATGACCAAAAAAATTAATGTGGTAGCATCACTTCCTTTGTTTTCTGAGTTGCTGTCATTGAATTGACTTACATGGGGGTTTTTTATCATTGTCTAAACAATTAGCTGTGTACTCACTGATCCCCTTTGTGGTCATCCAAGCATTGTTGTCAGTATGGAGTTTGGTGTTCATCAAATTCTTAGGAGAAATTTAAAAATCAACAGCTGATATCTCTTTCATATTATACATATCTGTTACCATTTTGTAGTCATAATGATTTAGCCTGCGTTGAGCTAACTTCTTTGGTTAGTAAGTATTTTTACATATTATAATTTTATGGAGAAAATAAATATGTTTTGTGCTGGCCTTATTCAGTGATAAATAGTCAGCATAAAGGTAATTAATTGAAGTAGGATACTGAAAACTGGGAAGACTGTAGTGGCATGTACAATCTGGTGAGGCTGGCATGTTTGTCTTTGATTTGATATATCCAAGTTACAGGATGATGGTCTGTGACCAATATAATTAAGTACCTTAATACCTTCACTATGCATTTAATGGCTAGATGTTCTTTTTCTCTCTAATCATATAATGTTCTACCTGAGGAAACAGTTTATGACTTATATAAAACTGGGTGTTTCTTTTGACATGTTCCTGACTCAGCACGGCTCCAAGCCCAACTTTTAAAGCAGTGATGCGTACTATAAATTTCTTTCTAGACCAACAGTCTACATTTTTCTGTCCAGGAAAGCTGCAAAGTTTACTCATGGTTCTATAAAACCCCTTGTTTCAAATCCGTCTATGTTTAATTTTCCCCTTTTGTACTCTTACACTTGCACAAAAAAGCTTCAAATCCTTGCTTTCTTTCCCTACAACATAAGTTTCCTACCTAGTAATTTGAAAGGAAACCATAAAAGGAAAGGATTTTTATCTGTGTGCTAAGAGTTTTTTGATATACTTGATGTCCCTTTAAAGAAGATGTTACTGAAGTTAAAAAATGTCAAAATCAAAAACTATAGTAGTCATATTTTATAAAAAGTATGACAGTTAATGCATTTGTCTTCAGAGGTGGCCAAGAAAGCCAACAAAAGCATAGTTGATATTCCTTAGTATTGGTAAAGAGATATTCCTGTTTTACAGCAGGAGATGTCCTGAAAAACTGTCCTCTTATAATGAGGAAAAAAAAATTGCACGGGTAATTTTTTTGTTTGGTTTTTACATTAGGGCAGGGGAATTCACTTCCTATAATAATGTGAATGTATCCCTTGAATTAATTTGTTCAGGAAGATGTAAAAAAACCAAACCAAAACAAAGAACCCAGTTGTTGTTTGTATATCAGTATGTACAATTCACTATCATTTGAGGTCTGCACATTTTCAGATAAATAGAGCCATACCTATGGTTTTTTTCAGTAAGATTACAACCCCACAGCATGTTGCTAGTACCTACTCATTTTAATTTTTCTCCTGACTGAAGCAATGTCTAGGCAGTCATGCTCAATAATTGCTGGGTAGTAGCCATATTTCTCCAGTTCACTTTCAAAGGGGAGAAAATGGGGCTTCACTTGAATGTAGAAATCCCACCACAATGTTGGTGACTGATCTTCTGCCACAGTTAGCTCTAAGGCTTAGCTTGTCTTTCCGATTCGCACAGATGGAACAAGTTTTTACATGTACTCAATGAAAAATATACTACAGAAAAAAATACAAAGTACCTAGTCATGAGAAATAAAGTAGTTCTTGACAGTAATTTTTCATTGTTAATCTGAAAAGTCTTTGTTGCATAAAATGGCTCATTAACCAAAATTCAGTGGACTTCAGAGGCTTCATGCATAGGCCACAGCCATGAGTTCTTCATACACAGTAAATGCCTTTGACTTTGGTGGCTACTCTTTTTTATATATGATCTCTGTTTTTATGATGATTTATTTTCTGCTTTAAAAATTGTACAGAAAAGATCTCTTTGACCTCTTCAGAGAGGGCTAATGAGGCACTAATAGAATCTCAAATTGCAGAAATTGATTTTGTTTACAGTAAGGGGAATGTTTTCTAAGCACATGCAGAGAGTGTGATCATAGAAGCCATGTCATATTCTCAGAGGGTGCTACTTGACTCATAGTACCTACATTACAAGAGAAGGATGAGCCATGTTAGGACTCCCAGGTGCCTTTAGGGAGGCTGGCTGAAGGCAGCACTGTCCCTGTCTGCCTGCTGCCCCCTGAGCTGGAGGCTGTGTGGGAACAAGGGGTTTTTCTACTCCTCAGCTGTTGCAGTTTACAGCCCACCTTAACTGATGTTGGCAACCATGATACTAAATACCAGCTCACAACCTGGAGCCACTGGGGCACATCCATGTTTCTTGCTTTTGCTGAGCATTAACTTCAGTGGAGGAGAGCTGAAAATTGTCAGTTTTGTCCACAGCACCTACCCCCTTGTCTGCAGAAATGCTGGAGTTTGGTGCCTGAGGGAGAGGCTCTACACCAGTTTGCTTACAGAAACTCAGTGATAAACTGGGCTTGAAGGCATGTGCTTCTGTTGAGCTCCTGTCTGGGCCCAGGGTCTGTCTTTATCACATTCTCTTGTTTGTATTGTTCTTTTATTCAGCAGACTACTTAGACTGTTTTGGGCACAGTGTCCAAACAGGCATTCGTGCTTGGATTAAATAGTGAAGTGATTTGTTTGGAGATTAATTCGTTCAGGTGTATAGTTGAGCTTACTTCCTTCCCTCAAAAGTGTTTCCAATTCAGAAATTACAAGATTTCAAGGAAACTGAATATATCTAGCATTGCTTTTTTTTAATATCACCAACTTTATTGGATATTTCAGAGAAAACTATAGCAATAGAAGGGTGTGGTTTCTTTCTCAACTAGAATCATGTTAATTTTTAGCAGCAAAAACAATGAACTTTACATAGATTTTAAAAGTATTTCTATTGAAAGCAGTGTCTGGAGGGAATTATTTGAATTTATCTTGCTTTCTGTTTCCTGAGTGGGTTTTTTTTTTTAGTTATGACATTTCAAGTTTTCAGAGAAATTGAGATTAGTTTTGACTGCATTATCGACTTTTATTTAAATGATGAGTAAAAAGATGGCAAAAATAGGGACTAATGTTAGTTTTTCTCTGCAGGAAAACTCTTGAAGATCGTTTAAAGCTTGAAGAAAAACTTGGCACACTCAATGTGTCTGATACCACAGTAGGCAGCAAACAGGCAACATTCAAATTAAAGAAGGTGAGCTATATGTGTACATATATATATATTTATATGTGTGTGTGTGTGTAATTTTTAAGATAATGCACAAGTAACTTAAGTTTTTGCATGAAAGAACAGGAACTTAAAACCGTCAAGCAAATGTCCCTCTTCATTCCTTTATAAGCTGCCAACTCTTCAGGTTCTTGCCAAGAAAATGAAAGCCTCCGGTAGGACTCTGTGTTTATCCTGTATAACTCAGGCAACACTCATAAAATCTTATGTTCTGGTGGAAAATAATGGCTTGCATCTTTTAGTAGTTTATTTGCAGAGGTACCACCAGAAGTTTGTGGCCTTGCCTGACTTCAGTGCTAGCACCAATCAGATCTCAGTCTGCAGATCCAAACACAACTTAGGGTGCTGCAATTTAGGCTTTCTCTTGGTTCAGCATTTTGAGAGGTTTCAGCATGATGGAAACAGAGCTCTAAACCACCTTTATTATTGACCTTATGTAACACAGGTCACAGGAGTGAGCTCTGGTCCTGTACTGGTTGTCAAATTCCATATGGAGTGTGTAGTTGAGTGCTGCCTATTTACCTTGCCCAAGAGTTTTGATTTTACATTCTAAATAATTTTGTAGATTGCATACAGATGATTGCTTTATAGTGTGGAGACAGTTAAATAAATGCCTCTGTGCATGTGCTACTGCTGCAATACACTTAAGGATTTTTGTACTGGAAAATTGCTTAAGAACTAAGAGAGGATCCAGTTTAAAGCTGAAAATCCATATGAATTGATACTTGACCTGACAAAATTTCCTTTGGTTAAAATTGGTTTTCCTCAGGTAAACATCTTTGCTATAACACATTTCTCCTTACCACTGGTCAAATACTGTTCTCAGTGGTAAAACCTATATTGCTGGAATTTAAAATGTGGTGACTCTGGAATAAAATTGCAAATTCCTCTGCAGGGCCTTGTAGGGTAATCTTTCTGGCAATTTTATCAACTCTGTAACTGCTGGTGTCTTGCAGCTCATTAAATGGGGTTTGCAGGGCTTCAGAGAAGGTCTTTTTTACAGTAGCTTGAATTTTCAAAGTGCAAAGCCACAAGGTTTCTTGCAGTTGGTGGTGCACGCTGAACTGTCACCTTTTACTGACAGAGATTTGAGAGCAAAGTAGACAGACCTTGCAGGAGGAAGACAGACACTGCAGTGGTTCAGAATGCCAAATTTACTTGATTCCATCAGATAAGATACAGCTATGAGGGTTTTTTTCAATTATAGTGCTTCTGACATGTATGGATTTTCTTTTCCTGACTTTTTACTGATATTACTTTTTTGAAATATGTACAAAGTCGTCATCTGCATTAAAATGATTTTTAAAAATCTAATTTAAAGAAAAATAGTGCATCTGCAGTGAAGATATTTTCTCCTATCAAAAAAATAACAAAGTAAGACTTAACAAGTCTTCTCTTAAATAAACAGACTTTGTGTATATCTTCTGAAGTCCTAAGGAATGAGCCAGGGAGAGCTAGGAGGAAGTCACGCTATGTGGTCTTGGCACTCCTTTTCAGAGGATGAAGAGTTAGAATTAACAAGGCATAAAAGGGATTTTAATGTCACTTGAAATGTCAGCTTCTGCTTTGTGTTGCCCTTTCCTCAAAGGGCAGGTGTATTTAGGAGTAGGTGGAAAGATTTAGCAGGGGAGAGAATTGTACTTCCGTGGGGTTGGTGTCACTTCAACTCCTAAGTCAGTGGAACTGAGGCTGAACTTGGCTCCTGCAGGTGTGGTATGTTGGCAGCCCCCTGATGCCCAGCTACCAGTGACACATCCACTGATGAAACTATTTGTCATTGGTATTTCACAGTTTAGTTTTCAGGGAATTGGAATATGGTTCCTACAATGTGGCAGCTTATTTTTCGATTTCAATAGCAAATAGATCTAACAAAATTGTGTGATTTCTAAAATACCAAAGTACTTACACTGCTGGGACAGTATGGAAGACCTTTAAAAACCCCAAACCTTAAAATTTCTGATGCAGATCAAGGTCATTCAGTTTCAGTATACTATGAGTAGCTGTCAACATGAGCTTAAGTAAGATTCATCAAGACTCTTTCAGAAGAGGTCTGGAGACAGGGAGAAACTACCTGTATTTTCAAATAGGGGGTTTCTTGTTGCTGTACTTGCAGTGAAAATGGAAGTTCATAAATTTCATCAAAGTCTAAAAACCAGTAGCTTTTTCTGCCTTGATACCAGTATGGGCTGATTGCTATATTTGTTAAACTGGTTTGCATCTCAGCCAAAATGCTGTCCATGCAAGCAAACCTCTAGCTTAGTTTAAATGGTGTGTGCATGGGAGACTGGGGGAGATGAGCTGATGTGAATGCTGTTGGTTACAGAAAGAGGTGCAGTGGGGATGCAGCTGCATCCACAGTGGTAATTCTGTCACACTCTCAGTGCAGTTATCTTGGGCTGCTTGAAATTGCTCTAATTGCTGGAGTACTTTCTGACATGGGCAGTTTTCTGAGCTTGGCTAGTTCAAGTCTGCTAGTTCCAGTTCATGCACAGTTTAAAGACAAGCTTTAGTCTTACAAAGAAAATAATAGTTTGTGACTCTAAGAACCATTTCATCTACATGGTACATCAAAATATCTTCCATGTTTTTGATTAAGGAAAGAAACATTAATAGATCATGTGCCACAGGAGCAGAGATTACTTTTATGTAGAAATTCCTTCTAGAATTGCACACAGTCTATCAAACACTTTCAAGAACTCCTAAGAACGTGTTTTAGGAAACGTGTGCTTCAGCAAATTTAACTAATTGTTCTGTCTTTTAAAAATTAAATTGTGCAATATTAAGCCTGACAGATTTCAAGAAGCATTGGGACTATATTCTTGGGCACATAGTGTGGTTCTGGCCGGGGAGGCTCCTGTAGGGCCAGGGGTTGGATTCAGTGATACTTGTGAGTCCCTTCCAACTCAACTTATTCTATTTTGTGATTCTGTGATTAAACTTGAAAACACTAGTTAACCAAAGTAGATACTAAGTAACCACAAATTTGGATTGATGTTCTTAAGAGTATTTAAACATAAATTATGGACTGTATTGTTAAGCATTGTTTTTTTAATCTGAAATACATTATTCACTGTGTTTTTATGTCTTTATGTTAAACTTTTGCTTTGAAAAGCTTGGAATGGTAATGCCTAAGGATATCTAGAATTAACAGTTACAATCTGACACAAGATAGCACAAAGCAACTAACTGTAACATTTCCAGATTTGCTTAATGGAATTCTGACTTGATATATTGATTCTGGGACAATAAGGAAGGAACCTGAGTCTATTTTTGTTTTAATATTCCAGTCAGAGCAGCAAAGGAAACAGCAGGAAGCTGAGAAACGACATCGTCAGGAGAGGAAAACCCTCCGGCGCTCTGCCAGTCATCTCAAGAGCAGACGTGGAAGAGGACGACTATTTCATTGATTTATGTTGGCTTTTTTTAAGAAACCTTTTACCTCATTTTCATTTGGAAAAGGGGCCTTTTCAAATTGGGACACAGTACCAATGGATTTGTATTTTGATTCATTGGTGAACACAAAGCCAGAACCTCCTAAACCTTGTGTTGATTACTGAAAAGTTTATGAAAGTTAAAATACTGACCAAAGGACAATATGAATATGGTCCATTGTGAACTGTATTTGTTCAGAAATCACCAGCAATTGGTTATTGTGTAACCCTGGAAGTTTTCTATATAAGAATTTAGTATACAACAAGGCTGCCTGTCTTTTATTTAACTTAAGAACTGTGAGTTTCAGTTTCTGAAATCTTTGTGACTGCTTAGATAAAAGATAAAGGTAAGTTGTTTTGTCTAAAAGCTTATCTTTACAAGGACACAAAAAATTTTTCTGATTCTTGAAGGATAGCACACAGTTGTATTTTTCAAAAACTGACTTTGGCTTTATATTCTTGGGTTGCCTTAATAGCAAATGGTACAAATGTTTGTTGGGACAATTGAGAATGCCTGATTTGGGTTCCTCTGAGTCATTCTGTAAGGAAACCTCTCTTGCCACACCACTGTACAAAGGGGAAGCTCAGAAGGGTAGTCCTATTAACTTAGAATTTGTAAGTACAAAACCTGATCCTGATGTTTCTGTTTTGGAAAGCCAGCCATGTTTCATCATAGATCAAGTGGTTTATCTTCATATAACAAGCACTTTAAGGCCATGCCAGTAGTCTCCTATGCTTCAAAAAAAGAGTTTAGTTAAATAACTTTAAAAAACCCTTGAACCTAAGTAGGTCATTATTTAGCAAATAAATTAGTTGTTACCTTTTATCCTAAAGGAATCTTTTATTGCTTTTTAAAAGCCTTTATAAATTACCTTTTTGCTAGATAACAGAACCTGAACTTTGGTTCAGCTAAAATCAGTGAATCTCCCTGTAACTGTAAATCTTTTTAAGAGACTCATAGGTTCTTAAGTATTTTGTTTTATAAACCAGAGAGGTATTAATCTGATCAGGTTTCTGTATTTGTAGAATATTTGCAATTACTTCAGTAAAAAGCCTTGGTTTCTCATAGCCTGATTTTTTTTTTTTGTTTGTTGTTAGATGATAGAAAAGTTAGCCACATGGATAACTTCTTTCCTCTCTGACTTAATTTTGCCTGCTTTAATTAATGGTTTTGATTATGTTGCTACCTTTAGTTTAAAAAGGCACTTTTCTCCTGATATTTTCATCTTCAAAAACTTACATTGTAGTCATCACCTCTGCCCTTGCATACAACTAAATGATAAGTCTCTCAATACCTATTTTTTTACCTCAAGCTGTCAAATTTCTGTATTGTTCATAAGTTTCTCATGCTTTTTATTTTTGCATCTTCCCCCTGGAGCATTATGTTATCTCTTAGAAACTATCTATGTGCAGTTCAGGTGTGCTTACATCATGCACAGGGCTGTAGGAATGTGGAGAGGTTAACAGTGGGAACTGGCCTCCATCGTGGTTGATACAGGGAGAGTTGGGGACTGGGTGGACAGAACTGGCATTTTAAGAGCAGAAATTTGGCCGATTTTACTCCTTCTCATGGTGGGTCTAAATCCCATTATATTGATCTAGAGCTGCATTTATGGTTGAAGGCATTTGTATTTTACAATGATTTTGTGGGCTGTCAAGAGCAGTAAAAAACTAAGTGTGGTTGATCTGCTGAGTGGTAATGCACTGAGTTTGAAATGAGCTTAAAATGAGTGTATTTCTTGTGTTTTGAGATTCTTCTGATGGACTGGTTTAAGTCAGTGTTTTGCTTTTCATGCACTTAGATTCATAATGTAAGTATTGTGATAGTATTGATCATGTATTTAGGTTTTAGCCGATATGATTAAAGGAGTGTGCTTTGTACTATTAGATGGAAGGCACATGTAAACTGCCCTTAGCATGCTGTTTATTTCACCTCAAAGGAAGTTGGGATACACTTTACACACCTCCTTCGACCTGCTGGCAATGCTTTCCCTGATGCACTCCAGGACACCTTTGGCCTGCTTGGCCACAAGGGCACTGCCAGCTCATGGACAGCTCGTTGTCCCCCAGGTGCTTCTCCACAGAGCTGCTTCCCACAGGCCAGCCCCAGCCTGTGCTGGTGCCAGGGTTATCCCTGCCCAGCTGCAGGGCCCTGCATTTGCCTTTGTTACATTTGAAACTGTTGCTCTCTGCCCCTCTCTCAAACCCACTGAGTTCCTTCTGAAGGGCTGCACGGCCCTCTGGGGTACTGGCTGCTCCTCGCAGCTTTGTGTCATCAGGGAACTTGCTGAGGAGGCTTCTGCCCCTTCATCCAGGTCATTAATAAGTTAAACAATATTGAACCTTGGGGACACCAATAGTGACAGGCCTCCAACTAGACCCTGTGCCGCTGCTTATGACCCCCTGGAATCTGCCATTCAGCCAGTTCTCAATCCACATCACTGCCAGTTCTCAATCCACATCACTGTTCACATAGGCACCTGGCATGAAACATGATTAGATTGCTGAGACTGATTAGGAAAATTGCCGGTTAAAGTTGTTCTTGAACAGCTCTCTGGGGAAGATTGGAGGTTTCAGTAGAATCTGGTGCATTAATGCGACATTATTGCAAATGAATTAGCTTCATCATGCAACCAGAGCAGGCATTTTTTAAGTGTCAGCCTGGGTTTCATTAACATTTTTCAGTCTGCTGTTACTTCATTTTCTGTGCTGCAGGAATCAGTCTTTATCCAGAATTGCATTTCCTAGAAGCTGAGCAGCTGCTGGGATCCTTTGTGACGTTTAAGGTTCATACTCTTAAGGTAAAGAGTAATCTCATGGAAACTCATGTATGATTGTTTCATACCTGTGAGAACTCAGTGGTGAGAATCTGTGTTAAAAACTCACTGTAAATAAATGTACAGATAGTGGTTAAATGTGAGTGAAATGCTGGTGAGTTAAAGGAATGACCTAGGTCTGATGTCTCACCTGTACTTCACTACTTTTTTACTCCACAGGTAATATGATTTATATCAGTTAGGCTATTACTCATTCAACAAACATTGAACCAAAACTAATTATCTAATGTTCTTTACAAAATTCTGTTACCAAGCCAAGAATCATTCTGTGTTCCTGTGGCTGGTATATTGTCTGAAATGAGGAGCATCTACAATTTAAACAAAACTGAAAATAAATTACTGTACCCCACACTGCTTGTTTTTAATATCTGAACTAAAGAAACGTGATTTTAAAATATTACCCCCATACGTAGCAAGTGTGTGTAAAATGTATATGCACATTTTTGTACTCACGGGGTTTATTTATGGAGTTTAAAGCAGATTTGAGATTGTCAGGCTTCAGGGAGAGTTGTGAGAGAGAATGAAATAGTTTTCAGATTGCTCCATCTTGTTTTGCAGCAGCCTTTTAAATTTGTATTCTTCATGTTTCCAGATGCAGGAATACAGTGAAGCAGTGCAGCTCCTTGCCTGGGAAGGTTGTGCAGTGTCCACAAAAAGACTTGTGATGTTGGATTAAACATCTGCAGGTATAGATGTGTGTGTACCTTCAGGTGTAGTGGAACCTTCTCTGAGGATGAGGAATGGTTTAATGAACTCTAGAGGACCTCTCCAGCCTGATTACTCTATGAATGTTGTAGGGCATAAGGAGGAAACATGTATCATTAATTGAATGGAGTAATTTTTCCCCTTTGTCTCATCCTTCCACTGAATCATTCACTAGTTTTATCTTTTTATCTCTTTCTTAAAGATTAAGTACTTCTTTTGGCATGTGTCCACAGCTAATATATTTTGTCTGATCTTGAGAAGTATGGGGATTTTAAACTGAATGAAAGCACATAAATCTATTAATAAATTTTACCTCTTGATCATTATCTCTGTATTTCAAAGCCCATTTTACTCAACAACTGGCTCTTTGTGTTGAACTTGAAATAGTTCTGTCACCAAAAGGAACAATTTATAGTAAAACCTGCAGGAAATAATAAGATTTAGCACCACTTATAGTTTATGCAACTGGAAGAAAAGGAATTCCTGAATTTTAAAGGCTCTCTAGGTCACAGAATCATTGTTTCATTTGGGGTGGAAGGAACCTTAAAGATGATCTCGTTCCAAGCCCCCTGCCATGGGCAGGGATGCTTTCCACTAGAACAAGTTGCTCAGAGCCCTATCCTGCCTGGCCCTGAGCAGTACCAGGGATGGGGAGTCTGCATATGCTCTGGGCAACCTGTGCCAGTGCCTCACCACCCTGACAATTAAGAATTTCTTCCTAATATCTAACCTAAAGCCACCCCTTTCAGTTTAAGGCCATTCTCCCTTGTCCTATTTCTACACTCAGTACAAGCCCATGTGCAAAGTCCCTCTGCAGCTCTCTTGAAGGCCTCCTGTAGCTATTGGGAGGTGATCTAAAGTTACCCCAACCCTTCTGTCTCCAGTCTTAACAACCCCAGTTCTCAGCCTCTCTTCATAAGAGATGTTCCAACCCTGTGATCAAATTAATGACTCTCTTTTGGTTTTTAATTTGACCCAGATCCTTAATCCACATGGGCTGTAGTTGCAATTTCTGTTGATTAAGTGACATGTTACTTTGTGTTTGTCCTGTAAGTGGCATTTCCATACAAAGTACTTGTGAGTATCCCGTGGTACAGACTGGTTTGCATTCATGTATCAGCAGAGCTAAAATAAGTAGTTTTTGAGCAAGTGAATGGAAACCACAACAACCAAACCATCCATATTAGTGGAAATTCAGAAATGTGTCTCCCTGTTGCTGACTGTTTTTCAAGATCTCCATCTTCTTTTCTTTGCTTAGTGTTTTAGACTATGGAGCATAGAAGAAGAGAAGATCTACCTTGAGCATGTTCAGAAAGGAGAAGTTTTTATCTTACTCTTTGGAAAGGATTGATCACTGCACTTCCCTTGATAAATATATTTAATTAGAGTTGAAGGACAATAATTTTGTAGTAAGATGAGGTACAAGTTGAAATGCTCTCATTCAGTGGGGTTATGCTTACCTATAGAGATTTGGGTCAGCTTAATCATGAAGGCAAGTCCTTTTTCCCAGTTAATTCTTCATTGAGTGGGGGCAAAATTAAAAATTCCATTTCCTCATTAAAGAGAAAACTAGGCAGTTGAAGTGGGAAATACCAGCCCAGCCCTAATCAGAATTTATACTCCCAATTCCTGGAACCACCCTTCCCTTCCCTACAGCAGTTTCTGCCAAAGCTGCTTTCTCTCTCTCCTGCTTATTATCTCGTTTGAACATCTGGCTCTTTCTTCTGGAGTGCCTCTCTCTACACTCCACTTTTTTCTATTAATATCAGGATCTCTGGTACAAATTTGTACAGCTACAACAGAGATTTGAGAATGAGCACTAAAATGGTAATCGTAGACTGGCTGTGTTTGGGTACATCTTGAGCAGAAAGGATTTGTGTGAGCTTGGAGATACAGAGAGCTGTGGCACCAGAGGGGACTCAGAGAGCTGGGGCATACTCCTGTACGTGTTACTGGCAATAGGCAGCAGTGTTGCTTTAAATCCCCCCAAAATCCACTTCTGCTCTGTGTGTATGTGTACTGCTGTGCTAGCTCTCCTTCACTAAGGTCTGGGTGCTTTGACTGGGACTGGTGTGTTTTAGATTTTTTTAAAAGAATTTTACCTGCAGCATTAGTATAATTGCAATGTGCATTATATACATGTACATTGTATATACATGTATATTGTATACATTATATACATATATACAATTGTACATTATGTACAATTACATTTAGCATTCAAAAGCATCTGAATAATATATTTTCTGATTTCAAACATGTATATATGTCCTCTCCATTTATCAACATTTCTTCTGTAAACACATTTTCTTCTGTCTTTTAACCTTTATAATATGCCACAAGTGGAGGCCATACAGCATGGGTCATAAAAGACCACATGCCTACCTGTGAGGATTTAATCATCTTATGCAAGTGACAGTGTTGTGAAAAGTAATTATCTTGTCTGTTGGGGTTCTGCTGATATTCTTGTAAACTGAATCAAAAGGGAAGTTTCATCATAGGTACTTTTTCCCCTTCCCAAATGTAAATTGTAGATTGCCCAATGGGACTGTGACACTGTTGCACTGAAAATGAGGCAATATTTTAAACAGATCTCCACAGCAAATAAATATCCTCTATCGGAGATATTTTAGGCAGGTTTCAACAAATCACTTTTGCACAATGCCATGGTAACTGCATTGCTGCAATTCAAGTAACACCAGAAGAAGAGGATTGTAGATGATCATTCTCCAGTTGTTAGGACGAGGCCTGACGCTGTTCAGTTTACAAGTACAGACACAACCAAGAACATTGTGTAACATCTCACATGTGCCTGTAGTTGGGGACTGGTGTCACCCATATGCAACTTAGGCACTAAGGGAAGACATTGGAACGATTGATAACTTTAGAGGCAGTTTCTCCAGGAGAATGCAAAGGTAACAATCCTTTATTCCTGCAATTCCATCTCCCAAACCGTGAAAGGTTCCAGTTAAAAACAGGAAGAAGATGGAAATTTCTGCAGAGGTGAGGCACAATTCTATGTCAGGTATTCAAGAAATGCTTGTCGTTCCCTGGAGTGGTGGGAACAAAAGCTTGCTTCTGTGATGGCTTTTGGGATAGATGTGAGGGCAGGGCTGCCAGGATATGATGGATGTGTAATGTGACCAAAGCAAGGAGGATTTATTCTCAAGTAGAGATCACCTCAGGGTGCTACAGGGTGAAATGAGCAAACAAGGCAGGTGGCTCCTTTCCTCCAGAGGATCTCTTTCCCGTCTTAAATGATGTGTACATGATGTCTACTGAAATGATTTCTAGAAAGCAATGCTCAATGCCATCTGTCTTGGCCTTTAGTGATGTTTACATGCTTCCTCTTTATCACAGAAAATAATT